TTTTGGTTGCACTGTTTGTGTTGTTGTTGTTGTTGTTGTTGGGTTTTTGTTGCTTCTGGTCATTATTTGTTGAAGAAATCAGAGACCAGCTTCCATTTCTGTCACAGCTTTATGTCTTCTTCCTGTTCTGTCCCCAAACGTGGTCACAGCAGTGTGTCTTTCTTAGCTAAGATACTGACGTGTTCTTGATCTTAGTCACCTTTACTATCAAAACTCACAGGGTGACCTAGCAATTGCATCCTAGTTACAGTGAGGTAACAGATGTCTCTTAAGAAAGTCACTGTGTGAGGCCACTTGAAACCTAAACCTACTGTTTCATACCTGTTTACTTATTCTCAAGTGATTTTGTCATCTGTTATGCAAGGTGCAGGATTGACCAAAAATAATACAGGATACTCACTCTGGGTTATCTAAAGAATGAACTAATAAGAACTCAGGTCTCCTTTGTCTCCTAGCAGGTGGGACTATACCCAAACTTAGATTCTTATGAGACCAGCGGTTGTTTTCACCTGGACTAAGGAGTCATGATGTGGAGCTATAGGATAAGTACTGGACTGCTAACCACAAAGTCGGGGGTTCAAACCCACCAGCCATTCCTTGGAAACCCTATACAAGATTGCTATGAGTTAGAACCAACTCAGTGACACTTAGCAACAACAAAGAAAACTCAAACTTCCTCAGGACCCAAGGTCTCCTGGTGCTGGGCAACAGCATTTCCGGACTACTCCCATGGATAGCTGATCACATTTAAAAATCCAGAATGTTTAGTGCCCATTGGCAAGGTTATGTTCATGCTTGCCTGCTATGGAAGGGCAGAAGGGGCCAGGATCCCACCACTGGCATATACATGTAACTGAATGGCCAGTAGAGTGCCCAGCAGTGACTAATGTTTATGCCAGGATTTACTAATCAAAGATATTATCCACATTTTTTTTTCAGTTGGTGATGCAGACTGCAAACTATCCAACAAGACGTGCACCTGCTACATTTATATCAAAGCTAATTCCAAAGATTGATGATAATTCATTGTTGTATTATTAGGTGCCATGAAGTTGGATCTGACTCATAGTGACCAGATGTACAACAGAACAAAACACTGCCCAGTCCTGGGCCAGCCTCACACTTGTTTGAGTCCATTGTTGCAGCCGCTGTCAATTTATCTCATTGAAGACCTTTCTCTTTTTCGTTAACCCTCCACCTTACCAAGCATGGGGTCCTTCTCCAGGGACTTCTGATAACATGCCCAAAGTATGTGAGATGAAGTCTTGCCATTGTTTTTAGGAGCATTCTGGCTATAACTCCCAACACAGATTTGTTCATTCTTCTGGCAGCCATATTATTCGTCAGAACCATAATTCAAAGGCATCAATGTTGCTCCAATCTTCCTTATTCATTGCATGCATACAAAATGGATAAAAATATCATACCTTGCATCAGGCAGCTTAGTCTTCATTGACTTTAAAGAGACCTTTGCAACAATTTTGCTCAGTGCAGTACATCATTTGATTTATTGACTACTGTTTCCATGAGTATTGATTGTGAGTCTAAGTAAAATGACATATCATAGTGTAGAAAAGTTCAGACTTTTTATCTGCATCCATTACCTTATCACCCTGTATTCTGATACTTCTCGTAGTAGCCCTGTAGCAGACCATCCCCAGCCTGGTAACCACAACTTAAGCAGTTGCCTGGGAGAACTTTTGGGAATCATCAAACATTAATTGAAGGCCTGATATGAAGGCTTCTCAGCTGCCATTATAAATTTGAGTCTAATATTAGAGATTTTTATAGTCTAAGATGTTTATTTAAGCAATGCAATGTGTGGTATAAGGTCTCTAATTTTCTAGGTACAAAGTTTATTAAGTATAGAAACATTCAAGAGGTAGAATTCCCACTCTATGGTCATAAGAGAGGCAGTCACTTGAACAGAACAAGGGGATACTAAATGGTTTAGAATCAGGAAAGGTGTATGCCAGGGCTGTATTCCTTCACCATATTTATTCAATGTGTATGCTGAGCAAATAATCCAAAAAGCTGGATTACATGAAGAAGAACGTGGCATCAGGATTAGAGGAAGACTCATTAACAACCTACAGAGGATACAACCTTGCTTGTTGAAAGCAAAGAGGACTTAAAAGACTTACTAATGAAAATCAAAGACCACAATTTTCAGTATGGATTGCATCTCAATGCAAAGAAAACAAAAATCCTCACTACTGGACAAATAAATAACATCCTGATAAATGGAGAAAAGATTGAAGTTGTCAACGACTTCATTTTGCTTGGATCCACTTTCAACACTCATGGAAGCAACAGTTAAGAAATGAAACAACATTACTCTAAACAAATCTGCACAAGACCTGTTTAAAAGTGCTCAAGGGCTATGTTTGAGGACTCTGGCATGCCTGACCCAAGCCATTGTATTTTCTCATATGCATGTGAAAGTTGGACAATGAATAAGAAAGATCATAGAAAAAATTATGCATTTGATTTATGGTATTAAAAAAGAATGCTGACAGGAGTTTGAGTCCCTGTGGGTCCAAGCGTTGCAGACCGTCCAAACCATAGGCTCTGAGGATCAGACTTCAGCCACCTAGCAGACATAGCAAACTGTCCCTCATCTGATTATTCAGTTATGCTTGTTAGTAATCGCATACATGAGCCCTGGATATCCACAGATAAATGTAAAAACCTTCCCTAAAAGCCGAGACTGTAAATTCCAAAAAGGCAAAGTTCCCCCCCCCCCAAAAAAAAAGCTAAAGAGGATAGAGAGAAACACTGTTAACTGATGATATATGGAGGGGACTATAATCAATGTAATGAAACAAGTCATATGAATGGTTGAATGTGAAATTGATGATGTGCCCTGTAAACTTTCACTCAATCCACAATAAAAACCTTAAAAAAAAAAAGAATACTGAAAGTGCCATGGACTGCCAAACGAACAAACAAGTTTGTGTTGGAAGAGTGCTTCTTAGCGGCAACAATGGCAAGACTTCATCTCTCATACTTAGGAGATATTATCAGAAGGAACCAGTCCCTGGAGAAGGACATTGTGCTTGGTAAAGTGGAGGGTCATTAAAAAAGGAAGACGCACAATGAGATGGATTTACACCCTGGCAGCAGCAATTGTGAGGATGGAGCAGGACCAGGCATTGTTTCTTTCTGTTGTGCGTAGGGTTGTTGTGAGTTGGAACTGACTCGATGACACCTAACAACACCACGGCCATAAGTAAAGTAAATGCTAGCAGGAATGGACATACCATTCCCACAATTCTCTTTAGACCTTTCATTTTATATTCAGAGTAATTTTTCACCACTCACACAGATAATTGGATTGTAATTCATGACTTTCCTTCTTCCTTAGTTTTAGGATTTCATTGTGTAAATGAACAGCCACTCACTGCAGTATTGTGTGACTGTGTTAATGCTTCCCTGTGTAAAAGTTGACTGTTTTGTTAAAGTGGCTACTGCACCATTTACTTGTATCCTTAGGAACAGAAACGATACAGTTCCTTAACCATTCACAGCTTCCAGGCCTAAGGAATAAAAAAGAAAAGAAATGATCAAGAACTTTAAGCATGCCATAAGCTAAGAACACCTTTTGAATTCTAAGACTTCGTATTTGCAATCCTGACATACTCAAATCATCACTCCAATGATATCAGTCATTTGGGCCAATGCTTTTGGCAGAACACTTTCCCTCATACTAATGATTAATAACCCAAGTGAGTTCTTGACTCTGTGGAAGCCTATGGTATATGACTGCTTGGTATATATTGCTGAAACAGCCAAAAACACCTCTTCATTTCAAGAATAGAGGAGAGGCAATTATGCAGTGTTCTGACTTAATATAAATTACCTCCTCAATAGGACTTACTCTTTAGGACAAAATTAGTGGGATGGTATGTAAGGGAGAAGCCCCACTTAACTAAGTTATGAAATCATTTGCTTCAATTCTGAGCAAAGTGAACTTTCTATATTAAAAGTTGGCTTACTTGTCCTTCAGCAAATGAATGGATAAGAAAACTGTGTCCAGATACACAATGGGATATTACTCAGCCATAAGGAAAAATGGAGTCCTGGTGTGGCGCTGTGGGCTAATGCGTCAGACTGCAGTCATTGGAACTGCAAGGTCGGTGGTTCAAGCTCACCAGATGTTCCTTGGAAACCCTATGCAGGGTCACTAAGGGTCGGAATCAAGTTGATGGCACTTAACAACAACAACAATAAGGAGAAATAAAATCTTGATATGTGCCACAACATGGATAAATCTTGAGAACACTGAGTGAAATAAATCAGGCATGAAAGGACAAATACTGTTGATCTCATACTTATGAAATCAGCAAATATAGAAACCAAAGCTAATTTATGATTATCCAGGATAGGAGGAAGGGAAAAGAGGGAGTTACTGTTTAGGGAGTACTGACTTTAAATTAATCTTGGTGGAAGAAGTCAAAAAAGTACAGTGACAATGAGTGTGCCACATGAAAATTATAATCAATGTCACAGCGTTATTATGCATGTAAAAGTTGTTGCATTTGCAGATGTTACATACAGTCCTACCACACACAAGTTGACTTGATTGTAAAGCCCAAAATAAAAATTCAGAGACCCAATCTCTTGTTTACCCCTGAATGACTCTTCTCCTACTGACTGCTCAGCCATGTCTTCATTCACAGTTATTTATTGCTCACCTACAGTTCCCATGGTAAGCACTGTACTAGGTACAGAGACACACCAGTGGGGTGGGTCCCTCACAGATTTAAGTCACAAATCATCTGGCAGTGTTCCCCTTCATTGGTACTGATGATGACTACATCCCTGTATTAGAATGTAATATCCTATTACGGAAATGCTACTTCCCCAAATAATGATTTTCTGAGACATAATGTTTTGATGATGCCGTTTTGAATTTCCTGTTTTATGTATGAGTGTGCATCTTATTGCTCTGCTTTCTTCCAAAGAAACCAATTATGGCTGCTTGGCATTTATTGCAGATGAGCAAGAAAGTTCCGGAGCGATTATTTACACCGTGGAGCTTAAGCGCTATGGGGGGCCCCTTGGCATCACAATTTCGGGAACTGAAGAGCCATTTGATCCTATAATCATTTCAAGCCTCACAAAAGGGGGATTAGCTGAAAGGTAAAATTTGAAGGAATTGCTACAATTACTTGTGTCTTTGATGGGCTTCTTTCTTCATAACCACATAAAAGCATGCTCTCTACTGCTGCTTGATTATCTGTTAATTTTTCTCAAATCTACACAAAAGATTGCTTTTAGAGCATGAGAAATCTTAGGAAGAGCTCCTCTTTGACTTTGAGGGGCATCTTCCAGACAGTAAAAGATGTCTTTGATATTACTCTCCAGAAATGTAGACACTGACCACAATCGACTGGACGTAGATTTCTATTGTGTCCATTTTGAGTGAAGGAGACTAAAGTTCAGAGAGGTTAAAAGGCTTGTCCAATTCAATTCAGTAAACTTTTACTGAGCCTGTTTTACCTGACAGGTACTGTGCATAACTTCAGGAATGAAGGTGAAACAAGATTTGTCTTCAAAGATTTCAAGAAACAAAGTGTAATGACCTATCTTAAAGATGTCTTATAATTTGAAATGTTCATTTGCCCCTCTGACCATGATAAACTGCTCCCCAGTACCCGACTCTAACTGCATTTTGCTGAAACGTGTTGCGAAGCATATTCCAAACACCCTAACAAGACCTGACCTTCAGTAACCTAGCTTGGGAGTACACAATGCATCCATCCTTCATGATGACACGTGGAGACAAGAGACATAAAACTCCCGAAGTTTGGAACTAGAAGATTCCTTAGAAATCAATGAGTCCAACACCTTCATCTAGCAGATGAAGGGACTTGAGGTCACTGAAAGAGTTACCCTGTGGAATTTAATATGTGATATTAACAGAGATGCTCACATGGTATTCTATAGGCCTCCTCCTCAATTGTAGTCCTAGGTAATTTTATTAGGGCAACAACAAGGAAAAGATTAATATTATCATTATACTCAACATATATATTAAAATGCTCAGCATATATTATTATACTCAACATATATATTATAATACTCAACATATATTATTATACTCAACATATATATTATAATACTCAACAGCCTACAGGTAAAATAGATTCATACACTGGATGTTCTTTATGAAAGAATGAAGAACTTGTCTCTCTTTTTTTTTTTTTATTTAAATAGGAAAAAAACAATTCTTGAAAGAGGATACATTGGTGGACTTGTTAAGCAGCCCCTCAGAACTAGTCTGCCTTTGTGTCACCTCGGTTGTCCCAGTTCTGCTGTCCAGCACACTACTCACGGTCCCCTGAAGCAGCAATCTGTGTTCAAAGCCCAGTCACAGCAGGTCTCTGGATTCACTCCAATGCTCATTGTATTCCATTTCCATGAAGTCCAGGAGCACATCAGACTCCATCTCTGTGGCATTCAACCCAAGTGTCAACAGCTGGGGTTTTTGTTTTTTGGTGTTTCTTTTTTGCATCCCTGAGCTACTTTGCAATGATTCTACTCCTTCCCAATCTTATGCCGCCAAACAAAGTTAGATAGGGAGAACATCAGAATTATGAATTCCAACCTGCTGGTCAGAATTGGTGTGATGAGACAAGAAGGAAAATGGTCAAATGTTTAGTAATTTATTCATCAATAAATTAATGTATTATCTTTTTCCTGTTCCAAGCAGTGTGCTAAACCTGTCACATGGGTTTCCTTGTTTAATCTGCATGGATACCCTATAACATGATTAACACCACTTCAGGAAACTGACACTCAAGAGAGGTTACACAAAGCAGTGCTCAAGGCACCCAGGTCGCACATCTGATAGTGGCAGCACTGGATTCAAACATATACTCATGGATTCCTGAGTTCAGCCTCCTTCAATTCTTAGAATCATCCACAAAGTCTTGTGTGTGTCCCTTTCTTTCTGAACCTCACTTACGGTGAACTCAGGTACTAAAGGTGTTGTTGTTGTTGTTAAGTGCCGTCGAGTCGGTTCCGACCCATAGCGACCCTGTACAGGGTTTCCGAGGGTGTAAATCCTTACGGGAGTAGAAAGCCTCATCTTTCTCCCGCGGAACGGCTGGTAGTTTCGAACCGCTGACCTTAAGGTTCGCAGCCCGATTCGTAACCACTACGCTACCAGAGTAAAAGACCTTAAATCTGTAGAAAGAAGGAATATTCCATGCTAAATGTTATGTATGGTTCATTTCCTTGTGCCTTTTGAGGGGATTATCTGATAACTTAGGTTTCTTGGGATTTAAAAACCACACAAGTCCATTTAAAACACTAATTAAAACCATTTTTCCTAATAATATGTATTTGAAATTGAAAAAATAATTCACAGCAGATACAATTATAACACTGCCCAAAAGACTAGAAGAAGTGACCTTAAGAGACCCTTGCCAAGTTTTTATGAGTGTGTGGAGAATGGCGAGGGATTTCTCTTCAATAGTATGCAAGACTTGTTTTTATGTTGTCTGTACTGTTTGGTGTTTCAGAACTGGTGCCATCCATATAGGAGACCGAATCCTCGCCATCAACAGCAGTAGCTTGAAAGGAAAGCCTCTGAGTGAAGCCATCCACTTGTTACAGATGGCGGGAGAGACTGTCACTTTGAAAATTAAGAAACAGACAGATGGTGAGTGGGTCGAGAGTCACAACTAAGGATTTCTAGTGCATTTCCTTTCCTAAAAGAATGTGCACGTCTATATGTGTATTACTATGGAAATAACTCCAGCCACAGAGTACTTGAGGATCTTTTTAGTCAGACCAAATTTGCTTCTTAAATTCCTTTTCTGTCTTTAAAGCCCAGTCTGCATCAAGTCCTAAGAAATTCCCCATTCCCAGCCATTTGAGTGATCTGGGGGATGTGGAGGAGGACTCTTCTCCAGCTCAGAAGCCAGGCAAACTCTCCGACATGTACCCCTCTGCAGTGCCCAGTGTGGACAGTGCTGTTGAATCATGGGACGGCTCTGGAATAGATGCCAGCTATGGGAATCAAGGTACGTCTTAGTCTTGGGATGGGGAACAGAGGACTTGTCACTGCTGCACCCCATGTTTCTCAAAGATTCACCTTATGCTCCAAGAAGAGAATATCTCTATTTAACTCATGTCTACAGCAATGGAACAATATTGAACATAATGGATACTTTTCCTCATTCAGCTGGCTTGACATTTCTGTCTTCCTAATGTTGGTGTAGGGAGCTCTGGTAGCGTAGTGGTTACGAATCGGGCTGCGAACCTTAAGGTCAGTGGTTCGAAACTACCAGCTGCTCCGTGGGAGAAAGATGAGGCTTTCTACTCCCGTAAAGATTTACACCCTCGGAAACCCTTTACAGGGTTGCTATGGGTCGGAACCGACTCAACGGCACATAACAACAACAACAACAACAATGTTGGTGTAAGGAGTTCAGGTAGTGTAGTGTTTACAAATCAGGCTGCAAACTGCAAGGTCAGCAGTTCGAAACTACCAGCTGTTCCACGGGAGAAAGATGAGGCTTTCTGCTCCCATAAAGATTTACAACCTCGGAAACCCTGTACAGGGTCACTATGAGTTGGAACCTACAACGACAACAATGTTGGTGTGGTGCTGTGGGTTAATGTACTGGACTGCAAGGTCAACAGTTCAAGTTCACAGAGATTCCTTGGAAACCCTATAGAGGGTCGCTGTGGGTCGGAACCGACTTGATGGCACTTAGCAAAAACAACAATGTTGAAGCTGTGAGCATTTATCAGATTCGAACAGGCCCCTATTAGAGCTACTGATGGCCGCATTCTCAGTTTGTACTTGTTCTTCAACCTTAGATTAATATGAGGCAAATCTTATATTAAAGTAGCTCACTGAAGGGAATCCCCATTGTCTTCTTTTTAGCAAGCTTTCCACAGAGACAAATTGGGGAGTGCTGAAAGTGTCCATAAGAGATCAGCCACTGATTTGTAGCCTCATTTATTTCTGCCTCCTCCTGACTTTATATAGAAATCCATAGGGGGTTCCCCCATAGTCGTTATTAGGAAGTTGTAATCATAATATATAGATCACAGTCAGTTTTTCTTCACAGATACCATCTTCATGTGAAGAAGTACAAACCCAATCTACATTAAAACTTTAACCTCACACACAGGATATAAACCCACAAAAGTATAGACTTTGTGTGAATCTTGCCACAGGACTGTATACTTCGAAATGTTAAAATGGCAAATCTTATGTAGTATATATTTTACCACAGTTCTTAAAAAATTATTGGACTGAGCGCAGAGCAGAAACTAAAAACTTCTTTTAAAAAATCTGTTTCTTCCCGGCAAGAGCACCAACGAGCCAGCCACAGCAGAGAAGACTTTAAGAACTGTTTAACACTTAGGGAACTGGATAAACCCCAGAGACATTCTGCTGCTTTGCTTGTCGGGCGTGGGGAATGGGGAGTTAATAGATGTTACTGATTTTGCAATCGTCCATCAACTATCATAGGTTTTATCCCCTGTTAAGTTTTCAGAAGCTAGGCAAAGCATTGCAGTGCCTGGCCCTCAAACGTGCCATGTGCCTTTGCTCTCAGGTCAAGAATCACTGCGCAAACAGGAATTGTTACCTTTTTTTGCCCTGCCCATCATGTAAATCAAATGTCTAGAGACATTAGTCTCGCTCATATGATCCGAGAGTAAATAGACAAAGGCTCACAAAACAGACTAAATGCTTTAGAGAAAGGAAGACCGCTTAAGGGAAATAAGACCCAATATATCCAGACTACACTCCCAGCTAAGGTTACTCAAGGTATAAGTAGATTTGTGTTATCTTTCAGTAACCCAGAAATTAATTGGAACTTAATCCAACAGCATTTTAGGAGGTTGTGGAACAATATACACTTGTCTGGGGATATTCATCAGCTACATGCTCAAATTTATGATATAAGTAATTCTCAAAGTGAACACTGAGTGGCTACTAATTTGCTATCCCTGCTAGAGAGTAAGATCCCCTAAGAACTTGATTGAACCTCAGCATAGTGATCCTGCTTGGTCACCTTAGAGCAGGTGGTGGGCTGGCAACATCGGGCACATGGGGTCCCCAGCTGATCTCCTCCCTCCCTGTCTTCCTTGGATGGTGGCTGTTTATGCTGGACATGTGGCCAGAGACAGGTAAGGATCACGTGGAACCTCGGCTACTTAAGACAGAGCCATTGCCATGCTGCAATGAGTCTCAATGACTGGTAAGACTGAGGAATTCGCACTGACCACCTAAGACAGGCAGCGTCCCTTAAACAATCAATAAATAAGGAGGATTCAGATGCAGACCGTGCAGACCCGGTCAGGAGGCCAAGCCCCTGTGGGCCCAAGCGTTGTTGACCGTCCAAACCATAGGCTCTGAGGATCAGAATCTAGCCACCTAGTAGACATAGCAAACTGTCCCTCATCTGATTATTCAGTAATGCTTGTTAGTAATTTCATACATGAGCCCTGGATATCCACAGACAAATGTAAAAACCTTCCCTAAAAGCCAAGACTGTAAATTCCAAAAAGGCAAGTCCCCCCCCCCCATCCAAAAAAAAAGCTAAAGAGGATAGAGAGAAACACTGTAAACTGATGATATATGGAGGGGATAATAATCAATGTAATGAAACAAGCTATATGAATGGTTGAATGTGAAGCTGATGATGTGCCCTGTAAACTTTCACTCAATGCAAAATAAAAACATTCAATGAAAAAAAAAATCTGTTTCTTTTCTAATAACATATAGCATCAAAAAAGAAGTGTGTCAGAAAATTTTCATGACATTATCATTTTATTTGTATTTCATCTGAGTCTTCTTTTCTCTCAAATGCCTTGTACAAATGTAAATCCTAACCTTCAAACCCCTTTTTTGCTCTGATTTTCCTCAGCTAAAGAATGAAATACCTAAGTTTGGAAAGCTCATGTTTGAGTGTGAAAATTGCTTTGTAAATGAGCTTGTGACAAGTTAGCTATGCCCTCAAAGAACACTCTCGTTGCTCTAAGTGGATGGGTTACCAGAGGACACTCTGGTTAAGGAGACAACAAATGAAATCCTATCAGAGTCGACCCTGAGAGATTATGCAAATTACATTTGTTGGTAAAAACGAGTTGCTTGCTATTTGAAATGCAGAGACTTTTTGTTACACACGGTTTCTTATGAGGAAACACTTTTGCTTGTTTTATTTTGTGTTGTTGTTGTTGTTAAGTGCTGTCAAGTTGGTTCCAACTCATAGTGACCCTGTATAGGGTTTCCAAGGAGCAACTGGTGAGTTTGAACTGCCAGCCTCGTAGTTCAAACCAATCTTGAGGTCGAGTGCGTATCTTACGGCTCCACACCAGATAGATGCTGTTGATTTTAATGTCTTCTGTCCCATAATGTGATGTGTCAAAACTTAGCTACTCTATCCCTTTGCACCACAAGACCCGAGCCATATAAGAACCTTTCCCCTCATTGGTAAAATAATGGTGTTATTGTTTTTGTGTGCCATGGAATCCGTTCCAACTCATAGAGACCCTGTATGGTGTTTCCGAGGAGCAGCTGGTAAGCTGAACTTGCAGTCCAACACATTAACCCACAGCACCACACTAGAACTCCAAAGTAATGATAGCCTTTTTTATTTATGGAACATTTTGAAAACTGGAAATCCTTGATAGGGAATAGTTGTCATTATGCTATTTAATTTGGATCTTAGTAATTAGAAATATTTAAGAAGTTACAGAGATAAGAGATAAGTAGAAATAAGAGCAATCAAGGCAGAATGTTGTTGTAGTTAAGTGCCATCAAGTAAGTTTTGCCACATAGGAAACATGTGCAAAGCAGAATGAAACACTGTCCTGTCCAGTCCTGTGCCATCTCAAAATTGTTTTTACATTTGAGCCCATTGCAGCTACCTCTGTGTCAATCCATCTCTTTGAGGGTCTTCCTCTTTTTTTGCTGACTCTCCACTTTACCAAGCATGATATCCTTCTCCCAGGACTGGTCCTTTCAAATAATATGCCTGAACTATGAGAGATGAAATCTCACCATCCTGACTTCTAAGAAGCATCTGGCTGTACTTCTAACACAGATTTGTTTGTTCTTCTGGAAATCCATGGTACTTTCAATATTCTTCTCCAACACCATAACTCAAATGCATCAATTTTTCTACAGTGTACCTTAATTCAGTGTACAACTTTCATATGCACATAAAGTGACTGAAAATACCATGGCTTTGGTCAGGCGTATTTTAGTCCTCAAACTGACATCTTTGCTCTTGAACACTTTTAAGAGGTCTTGTTCAGTAGACTTGCCGAATGCAATAGAACGTCAAAGTCTGCTGAAACAAGAGAATAGTAATAATTCCTTACTTGGTAAACATTTCAGAGTTTACCCAGCACTTTTACATAGGTAATCTCTAGTGATTTTCATAACCAGCGTGGAAGTCAGAGGGCCAGTGTTAATCACAGAATTTTGATGTTAGGAGAGGCTTTAGAAGTCACTTTGTCTGAAGTCCAGTGTGTCACGTGATGCTCTCCCCAGCTTCACTGCTAACAGTCATGCTGCGCGGGCTTCAGGATCTGGAATGACACATTCTCCAGACTGCTGAAGCTGCTCTCTCATCTCCATGTACCTCTGATAGCTCGAAGCACTCTCTTGTATTGAGCTGAAATCTGTCGGCTTGGAGCTTGTCTTTTAGTCCTAGCTCCACCCTCAAGGTCACTCAGAACTAGACTACTGTCTCCTCCACTTGACAGCCCTTCAGATACTTAAGATGCTATTCTGTCTCTTTAGAGTCTTTTCTTCTCCAAGCAAAATAGCCCCAGTTTCTTGAACTGTCACTCACAATAGATTATGTTTTAATATTGTTATCATCCTAGGGCCTCTCTTCTGAATATGTTCAAGTTCAACTGTACCTATTAAAGTCTAGTGCTCAAGAGGGAGGCATACAAGAGGCTGACAGCCCAGAGCAAAGCAAGCCTGTTACCTTCCTGATTGAAGATAGTAGAAGCTACCAATGTAACCTAACTTCATGAGAATTGGGGT